CTCACTCATCTCTCTGCAATTGGGGTCCAACCTCGAGGATCGTGACACCCTCATGCAGTAAAGTATTGGAAGAACAATGGGATAAAGCACAACAAAAACCTAAATGTTAAATTGAAAATGCAGAGCATTGTCATATGGCAGCAAGGTTCTGCAGCAAACGTTCAGAACAATTCATTCATCACAAAACGGTACAATGTACCAGAACCTGTCCCTCATATAACCTTAATGGTTAATGAAGGTTTTGAATCAAAAGATCTTGGATCAATGATGCTAGCAGCATCCCAAGCTGAGTGGAAAGCAACAGATAATCCTAATATTTACTGAGGCAACACAACCCTCACACACTAATAACAAACAACCCTCCTGATGCCAAGAACTTTACAGTAACTGATCTGTTTTTCTATATCCACTGACTAAAGAATCACAAGATCTGTTTGCATTTACATTTCAAGGTAAGCAATACACACAACTTCCACAAGCGTTTAAACACCGTCCACATGTGTTTAGCCAGTGTTCTCTCTCTCTCTCTTCTCATTACTGTAACTCTCATTTTCTTTGTTCCATTTCAATGTTTCATTTCAACCCAGTGTTAAATGCAATGTAAAAGCACAGGAGTTGGGTGGTCTTTCATTCTGGCTGTGCCACAGCATCCTTCCAAGTATCAATGGCAATTACTTGTCAGGGCAAGAATTGTGGAGACATTTTTATTGCAAATGACAGCAGATTTTTTCGTCTCAACAGGAAGCATGCACAAGCATCCTATGAATTGACTAAATTAGTCACATTCTATTATTCTTAGATAAAATCATATATAACATTATATTTAGCATGGTAACTATGTTCTACAATATTGCATTATTACAGAGAAGCACACAACATAAACTATGTAGTTTAATTTTATTTCAGCACTATTAATGGATCACTTTGTTAGTTATAAAATTTGACAGCATTAATTTTTGAAGGATTTCTTCAAACAGGGAGGATTGAAGTAGAATTTTTTTTGTTCAGGAAATGGGATGTGATTCTGTTCCCAGAAGAATATAAGATGCATATATGCATCATATGTATAATGAAAAACAAGAGATGTGGGGTGACACACAAGAAGGGTTATAAAGGATCTGTGTACTTTTGAAAAGGTTTGTGTTTTTTTGGGGTCCTTACTTCAAGAAACTCTTCAAGTGTCCACTATTTCTGCTCTTCAATAAACCCTGTGCCACATCCCTGCACTGACATGAAGACAGGAATCTCAGGGCCCTGATAAGGTTAATTTGGTTTATTAAAAGATTCCAGATCATGTCTGTGCAGTCTTACAGTGCAATCCCTGCTCAGAGTAGAATTATAGTGTTGAGAGTCCATTCAACCCTAAAAATGATGGCAGCAATTTTTTAATCTGTCGACAGATCACAGCTGTGTAAATTACAAATTGAAAAACGTGTTATTAAATGTTTCTGAACAGTATACACTGTATTTACAAAATTGTACAAAGTGCAGTGGTAACAGATGACGAGCAGAAGCATTAAAGACTTGAGTTCTGCACATTTATGCCTGGATGAAAGATATATTTATTATTGTAGAGCATTCTGAGAAAGCTCTGTTTTGGGTGAATGAAGCCCAGTTATGACCATCTGAGTAGACAGAACTGACAAGTTTGTTTGTTGGTTTACCAAAATTAATGAGAATTATGATGAGGAGGTTATTAACTAAGGTTATTAATTATGGGGGCCGAGATGGGGTAAAAGCAGAGCAGCCGACTCAGGACCCAAAAGTCCCAGGCTCAATCCCCAGCCACTCCCATATGTCATGGTGTCTCTGAGCAAGACACCCAATCCCCCAATTGCTCCCCGGGCACTTAAATAACTGCCCACTGTTCCACCTGGGTGTATCCCAGTGCCATGGGTTTAAAGCAGAGACAAATTCCACCATTGTATGGGAACATCCAATGATGACAACACATGGCACTTATTATTATTAAGGATAATTTGGAGTTGAGTCAATTACGTTGGGTGTTCTCTAGACAGTTTAAAACTGTCCTGCTGATGAGAGTAGGAGAAAAGGTGATTTAAAAAAAAAAAGATTAAACTGTAGTCTAAGAGAAAAATACATACATTCTAGGGATTTGAGTTTTCAGAAGAAAAATAAATACAATAAACTTGTGGTTTGGAGAAAATGAATGAACGAATGAATGATCTGGTTCTCACCACATGGAATTTATGTGTTGAGCATTGATTGGTGGTGAGCGTAGAACTGTAATAAAAAAATGTTTAAACTAAAGAATTTGTAGTTGGCCAGTGTGCTGCTGTAAATAAACAATCAATTCTCAAATTTTGACGTTTAGTTGAGGCTAAGGACCCAGGAGGCAGGCAAGAGGAGCTCACATATATAATGAAATAAAACATATATATTTAAATAACAAACAAAAACAATAGGCTGATGTGGCAGCAATAAACTTAGTCAGGAGCACAACAACACAAGGAACTTGGGTGGGAGCATAGGGAGGACCAAGACGTTTGGTGGGGAACCAAGACAATGAGCCGACATTGAAATGGTGATTAGAAGTAGTTTGAATAAAGACTGAGGAAGAGTGGAATATGACAGCACCTGAGTGTATAATCATGTGGAACAGGTGTGAGAGGAAAAGGAAGCAATATGCGAGGCTGACTGAGGGTGTAGATGAGAACTGACAGAGAACAATGAACACAGAGGGATTAAATCAAAACACAAGAATAATATAAATCATAAGAAGAAATAAACTAAAATAACTCAAAAAACGCAGACTAGGGCACCGATGTCTTCCGTCGCTTGTCCGAAGCAGAGAAGAGTAAAGGATCCCTGTGAGTGGAGGGAGCAATTTTATCCACCACCAGTGACCACCCCCTGGCTCACAATGGCAGCTTTAGCCACCATAAATTAATCTTTGGGCCACCCCAATAGTTGGGGGGGAAAAAAAACAACAACTATGTTTAAGCAAAATAAAAACGAAAAAACATAGTTTACCCAAATGATATGCGTGGTCAATTTATATGTACAGTAGTCCCTAACTACTTCGTGGTTCGACTTTCGCTGACTTGCTCGTTCTTGCTTTTTCAATGTAAGATTGTATACAACACACGGCTGTCAACTCTAATATTACTCATGTGATTGAGACAGTACAGGATAAAAAGTTAACAAAAAATACTTCGGAAGGGAGCCACCATTTTGTAGTTTTTTTTTCAATAAGCCTACACTGTAATGCAGGTCAAAAGAACTACATGGCCCAGAAGCCAACAGTGCTTCCGGCCACTGCTTTCTGGCAAAATGGAAGGGTAGTTTTGCAACACAAAGTCAGAAATAATGATCTATTTAAGCTCACAGAACTGGCAGGAAAGTTGCAAATAATCCTGAAGCTACCGAAAGCTCAATTATCCATGCACACATGAACGTGAATGGGGTGGTGGACTTCGTCACTGAAGGGTAGGTCTGCAGAACCGGAACCCATATAAAACTTTGCAGTACTGTACAGTACATATACGCATGTTGTTAAAATTACACAGGTTTAAGAGTTGAAAACATTATTAAGAACATTGCAAGAGTGTGGGAAGGGTTTATAAAGCCTTAAAATACAGTATATATGGTACCGGTAAATGGACTGCACGTCTATAGCACCTTTCTATTTTATCAAGAGACTCAAAGCTCTTTACACTACAACCTGTGCCCTCATTTACCCATTCATACATCACTCTATTAGATCTAGACAAAGAATAATCCGTGCTTTATCACATTCATATACCGATGGGACACATATCGGAGGCAATGAGGGGTTCA